GGGGGGGGGGGGGAGGACGTAAATATTTTTTGTCGTTCACTCGCTGAATAATCTGTAGAAATTCTCTTTTAAGATCCTATAGGATACGGTCTCGCGTAACAAATTCGTTTGGAGGATCAGGGATTGCTCTCTTCTTTATATATATATATATATAGACTGCAATGAAATGTCGTCTGACTCGGCGTGCGTGCAATTGTCATTATCCCATGCGTAACTTTTTATTCCGTAGGTGGACGGTAATGGCCTGTACGTACGATGTTAGCCGAGATCCGCGAGACTCTCGCACGTACTTTTTGCCCGTCCGCATCATCCCCGTGAATTTTTCGCACGCGTGTACGTTTGCGTTTTTTGAATCTGGCACGTAGACTTGCTCGAAAGTATACATGACGCAGTTACATACTATGCTGAGGATATGTCATTTTATGACACACGAGAGAATTACGGATATCAGTTAAATGCCGATAAGGCATGCGTGCACATACGAGACAGGACCGTACGTGGTTATCTTTCTTAACGTTGCGAATTTTTTTTTTTTTTTTTCTTCATGATTACGTCACTAACAGTAAATTTTGCGCGTATTTGGACGCTCTCGGGTTTCTCGTTATCTGAAATTATGTTTGAAAAAAAAAAAAAAAATACATTTCTCTAATAAGAAGGTTTGCCTATTGTGTCTCAACGCGCAGCATCCGTATGGACCCCAGTACCTTACTTGGATTGGGATGTCAATTATATTATTCCCACGTGGTCTTATACCAAGACAACGCATTACAAGGATCCAGCTTATTGGGACGTGTCCAGTGAACAGGATCTCGATAACGTATCAGGAAGGCCTCGTGTTCATGGGCATTGCCCTGCCGGGAAATGGTCTTGCAAAAGTGGCAGGCAGTGCATTCCTGCGTGGCAGAGATGCGACCGGGAACCGCATTGCAAGGACTTGTCCGACGAGGACGAGTGTGGTATGCATGCTATACACATTACTAACCCCACAGTACGTCAAATTCGAGTCAGTCAGTTTGGCGCGATGTAGTTCTCGAAATTCACGCTGGGGTCTCGTCGATCGAGGCAGAATAACAGCATTACTTTCCTATTTAAAATATTACTTTCCTAAGTATCTAGCTGCCGAGTCGCATAGTCGAATTGCTGCTGGGTATGTACCACGTGGTTGGCATACGAACGGCGCTGACGGGTGATGGTTGAAACGTTTGACTTTTAGGTTAGGAACTTCTGACTTTTGTCGGACACTCTTTCTTTTTCCTCTAATCTCTCTTCACCCCCTGTCGTCCCTCAATGTATTTATCTCACATCCCACAAATCGTACAGCAGCTGTACTCCCGACCGACCGAACGAAATTTACTCACGTTTATTAGCCCCTCTAATAACTGGCCGCATTTTAATCCGACGTTAATCTCCCGAGACTCGACGCCGAACGTCCGACAGCTCCTGTCACAAATTTCACGTTTTACTCGATTTAATCCAATCTTAATTCGGCGCGCGTCATTCGTCGAATTCTACCTAAAATAATTCAGGCATTCACGTTCACCTCGGTCGCCGTCCTTTTTAGTCCTCCGTCGATACCAACCCTTTAACAGTTGACACATTTTTTTTATTAAAAAATTTTTTTCACTATGTACTTCTGTTAGTTCAAAATTTTTTTTACATTTCGATTCTAATCGCTAACCGAAAGACCTTCGGCTATTCGTTCCTCGACAGTCATTCGCATTCTATGGCATCTACTCGTTCGTGTGAGCTATTCAAAAGGTGCAGTCCTTTCCAAATAATGTCTCATGCATACTGCATGATAACGGTCCTGTCTTCTCGATGATAATTCGCACGAGGAGACTCGCGAATAATCTTAATCTTTCGTCATGACAATAGTCACTGAGTGGCTGACGCCACAAAGGAGCCTTGAACTTAAAAATCTAAAGACGTGCAACTACAGCGCCCACAGGGTATATTTGGCCTCATTGAATTTCAAAAGAAATTCCTTTTGTATATTTCGCCGAAGTATCCGCATCTAAACGTAACGTATTAGAGATTCCGCGTGCGTTTCCTTCAATACAATTAGTATTGGACACTCGGCTTTGTCATTCGATTTCGTTAACGAGTCACGGTGCTGTCTTTACGAGCGATAAATATTACGTCACGTGTGCCGAACAATTATTAGAAATAATCGATGGGACATAATGGGTGGTATTGATTGATTCAAAATTTTACATTCTTTTTTTTTTCTTCATTCTTTTATATATAATTATATTCTGCTTCGATCGACTGCCAATTGTGAATTATTTACGCGATTTTATTAATCGTACTCGAGACATTTCTTCAAATTTACATACTTCATTTATAACGTACGTCAGTGCGCAAGTGATTCGCGGGCAGGCGTAACCTGCGCGCAGTCAGTTGCACGATACACTTAATTAACATTGAATTATGCTTTCTAATCCTAATCTTAATTGACACTTTATCGGTTGCATTTAGAGAGTATATCTATATTGTACTTGAGGCTGTTACCGTACTTTATTTATTTTTAATAGAACTTTTGTATTTGTATATATATACATATATTGTATATATATTCGTAAGATCAATCATTTCTATCACAGTGTTAACGACCGGTAAAGTGTCCATGCAGCCTGCCCGTTCGCCTGTCTGGCCTAATCAATCTTATACCTATAACCGTATGTTTGATTAAGCATGTTTATCAGCCTAAATTAACACTTCTTTTCTTCGCGCATGCTCATTGACGATTTTCTTCGACGAAAAAACAAACACGATTTTCATCGTACACACATATGCTGAAAATACTAAAAAAAAAAAAACAATCGCACGACTCTAAAAGACGATCAGGAATGCCCGTCGGAGACGAGCTGGTATTGCAAAAATGGACTCTGCATTGCAAAGGAGCTCCGGTGCGACGGACATAACGATTGTGGAGATTACTCGGACGAACAGTGCCGTAAGTCGTAGTTCATCGTATTTTTGGGAAGTTGGCCATTTTTATAAATATTTCTGCCTTCACTCCTACCCTCCTCTGTTTGTACATTCAAATTCTGAGACCACCTTCTTCTCGGTCGTGTTGTGCCATTGTTGCCGTCTCGTGTCACGTCTACCTATTACTTCATTGTTACTACTGTTATTATTAGTACTGTGACGTCACTTCTATGCGTATACCCCTAACGTGGGACTCTCCCCCGGTCGGAACCTCCGGCCGAAGTTCTGTGATGTCGCTGCAAAATATAGCTTCTTTCCGCAGGAGGTAAAGGAATGATTTATTGATGGTATATTTTTGACGAGAGCGAGAGAGAGAGAGAGAGAGATAAAGATAAAGGAAGTACAATTTTTAGATACGCATTCTAATAAGTGAAATAAGGACACGTCTTCGCAATATAGCATTTGTATGTGAGGAAAAAAAAACCTTTGAACATTCGTTTCACGCTGGATATATGTCTCTCTGTCTTCTTCTATTGAAAAACTGTCAGATTCTTTATTTTCCTTGGTATATTAATTTTACGGCTCATTCAGATCAGATTAGATGGGTATATGCTTTCCTGAGCTTATCGGAATGAAAGCACAGATGCTTTTATTCGTTTCTTCAAGTTCTCTCATATCATTCTCAGGATTGTACTTATCACTCTGTCTCATTCTATTCTGCCTTTCTGTCTCTTTCTCTCTCTCTCTCTCTCTCATTACCCATTTACATGTGCTTTCGCGTGCTTTTGCGAGCTTGCCGAACACGTTCAATTATGTCTACGAATAAACAGTAGATAATAAATTCTCCACTCACGATCGGCTGAGCAACTTCACGTTATGAAATACCCAAAGCCGATTCAGTTCTTGACGTCATTCTCCTCCGCCATTTTGTCGTCCACTGCACGTCCTTATTCAATCCTTTAGTTCTATCCACACGCAAAACATGGTGCCCTGTTCTTTTGTCACGTGACAATGTGTGTCTCTCTCTCTCTCTCTCTCTCTCTCTCTCTCTCTCTCTCTCTCTCTCTCTCTGTAAAAACGAAAAAGGTGGATTTCTTGTAAAAAGTCTGATTTTGTCAACGTCTGAATTTGTTCGTCTTCAGGTCACGGATATTATGGACGTTATTTTTCTTCTCTACTTGAATCCTAATCGTTAGGCTACGTCGTGTCTGTTTCTACATCAAAGTTAGCAGCGATGCAATTCTTACAGCATGCAGGTCTGACCAATTCGAATGCGAACCTGGATACTGTGTCCCGATGAGTCGGCGCTGCGACAGCTACAGGGACTGTCAAAATAGTCGGGACGAACTTGATTGTTCGAACAACCACAGTACGAATCACCATTAACAACATATTAAGGCTGTAACAGGCCAAGACACCTAACAATAAGTATTGATATACCTAATACAAACAACACGTACCTTACCGGGAATACGATATTAACTGATATAACTATATAGACGGTTTGTGGAAGAGCCACGCATGCTGCATATGCACTTGCATCAGGTAACGGCATGATTTGCAAATCGGTCAAGAAACTCACACGTATTGGGATTTTGCGTAATTCAGTAATATTTTTAATAGTTGCTCGAGCATGTGGTTTATCTTTAATGCAATTTCGTATCAATCACGCCGTACGAGAATCGTATGCAATTGTGCATAGGGTAGAATATATTTTTTTTCAGGGGTCATCTTCTCTTTAATTTCAATGCTAATGAGTCACCCGACAAACGTATATTCTAATTGCCAATCGAATATAGGTAGAAAACGAGAAAATTTGCTGTTACGAATCATCGATATTGAATATTTATATGGTTCTTACTTTTACAGTTTTTTGTTTTCTGTATTTGAGTCTTAAATTCAATTTTTTTTTTTCGGCGAAACTTTAAGGCAACTTAAGTCGGTCGTTTACTTTCCGAAGCCAGTTTTGCGGGAAAACAGTCGTTTTACGTATAAGTTGGAAGGTAGAATTAAGAATACTGCGTGTTTAAATTTTTTTCATAGTCGATTAGGTTATCGATTAGGGCAATTATTAGAATTATTTATTTACGTTCGCCTGATAGGTGTATCATCAGGACCCGTTATCAGAATCGTTAATAATTAGGCAATTCCCTAGTACATAAGTATACAGCTTTTGAAAAATTTTACTCTGCTATTCACACGTCAATGAGAGTCAAAAATTTTACGAAATTCATAGTTTCATAAAGTATATACAGTTTGGCAATTCTCTAATAAATTCGTCGGTTGATGTTAATTACTGTCCGATTGCATCTAAAGGTGCAATGAGAAATTTGACAGAATGGAATCTAATGTAATAGAAAAATTATTCGATATTCTGTTCGAGAAAAATAAAAATGTAGATTATAATTTTGACGACTTATAACGTCAATCATAAATTTCGAGTCCATGTTTGTTTTTGAAATTAATCTGAATTAATAATATTTCATTGAGAATCACTAAAGATATTCTAAGAACTCCAATTCACATCTTTATTTCTATCGAATAATCGTTTTCCAGAATTATCAATTATTTTCTAAAATTTATTAAAAAATAGCATCAATGACATAGTTTCCCGGTCGTTTGTTTAAATCACAATCATTTCCCTCTTCGTCAGCTTGACTGCATATCCTTTAATCATAAACATTTTTTTTTGATCCCCCAATATCCTACAGCGAGGTGTAGACCGGATGAGTTCGAGTGTTCAAACGGAACGTGCGTCAGCCAAAGTGCAAGATGCGACGGACGCAACGACTGCTCAGATTATTCAGACGAGCGTGACTGTAATGGTATAAAAGATGTTTGATTTATTTATTTTTTCTCTCTATCTCTCCCATCCTCCTCCGGCATCGTTTCATCGTCATTGCTCTCATACGAAAACACGTCGAGGATCTATAAAAGAATTTCCAATGGACACTTTAACTCTTGCATAATATTTCCCATGGTTTTTGTTCTTTCAGTAACAACATGTAGTAGCGATCAGTATCGTTGCATCGATGGAACTTGCTTGAGCATCGACAAAAGGTGTAACGGAGTGCAGGATTGCCGTAATGGAGAAGACGAGAGTCAATGCGGTGAGTTTACTGAGTCATCACACCAAGAAGGTGTACCTTTACATATTAATACCTTTAATAGAGTTTCTTCCTACAACATATTTTTAGGTGATCATTCGATTGCAACGATAGTCCAGGCCGGGACTATCGTGGTATAAAGATTCGTATAACTGAGAATCTAGGCACTTTTTAATGTTCCTACATTTATAGGATTAAAAGTGTCATTCGCATTTACGCACAGTTATGTCGCGAATTTCATAATAAGACTTTCAGGATATTTTAAAGATATTCGTGATCCAAGTTAATATAGGTAATTATCATTACCTCCTAAATGATATTTTGGTGAACAAAATTCGAGTATACCCGAGTTATACAGTTTCGAGGTTTTTCCTGGGTTGGCAAAAAAAGTCCTAAAAAAAAAAAATGAAAAGAAACAACCATCAGATTGCAGTCTAGCCAGCGTACGAGAAACCTCGGGAAACTCGATACTCCTCGGTCACGCTCGGCGTACCTTTCGATATTCCAATCTTCAACCCTGACCGAAAGTTCATATCGTTCTATTTTTTTCTTCGCGACCCCCCTGCCCCAACGCCCTCCATAAAAGTGTCGATAGTCATAAAGTCCCAAAAAGCCAATCATCGCGAATAAAATTTCAGCACGATGATATTTCCTCAAATCATCAATCCAAAATTCGTGATGACGCTCGCTATGGAGGTTAATGGAATTTGAAAACTATTTTTTGATCCCAATTACTGCCTCGCGTCTCATTATCGCCATGTTCCATGTTGTCGCATAGTATGCTTTGTCGTGGCTGCGAATCGCTGATCATCATCCGCAAAATACTTTGGCTAGTAACCGATATCGATAGATCAATAAACATTGATCGATCGATCTCAATTATACACCCGCTAGAGAGTTTACATTGAAGAGGTTATGGGTTTTCCTTTAATCGAGCCTTGCTCCTCCTCCCATCCCGGGAAGCGGTGCCTTGGCTAGTTATCTTATCAGCTTTATCAGTGCGGTGTGTGCGCCTTGTGTGGAGCAGGTTGTGCGCCGTCGGAGTTTCGCTGCAGTGACGGCAGCTGCATCAACGACGAGTTGCAGTGCAATGGTGTCAACGAGTGTCCCGACGGATCCGACGAGAAGGATTGCGGTAACTATGCCATCAACAATCGTAGAGACATTCAAGACTTCAGACATTCAGACTTTAGATTTTTCAGACTTCAGACTTCGGACACGTACCCTTCCACCCATCACTTCGATCCTTACACGATTTCATGCACCTACGTATATACCGTATAAGCATTGTGGCGACTACGTCATATCCTCCCGGAATCTATTAGAAATCAGACACGTACTTGTACACGTGGATATCAAGTACCACTGACTTGGCGCTGATGAAGAACCTTAATCACCCTCGAGCACCTAGACTCAAGATGTTCCTTTCTCGCGGAGGCTCTTTCTACTTCAGCGTCTATTTTGCGCGGCTTCCGCACCGTGAACACTCGCTGTTACAGTCCAGCCACTTGTGCACTGGATCGTTCGAATGTTTTTATGGTTAATTGATATCGATATTCGTTTGCACTAATTAGTTTATGGATTTTCATCAGCGCCTTGATCTTTTAGGCTTTTCTTTTTGGGACGTTAACGTTGTACGGCAGATCGAAGGATTTTTAGTATTGAAACTTGTTTTTTGTAGTATTTATTTATGGTCCGGTGAAGATATGACGAATTTGTCTGGTTCATTCGTCGTTACTCTTTATACTTCATTTTCATGTATTTTTTTTTTTCTTTCTCACGCATCTTCATCGATCGTCGTATAGAAAAGTCGGCGAGGCGACATTATTATAATGCTGCGAGGTTCAGGAACATCACGAAACAAGAGGCTGATTCTAGATCGGGCCCATTGTGGCAAAGCGATACTTCTAAGCGGATATTTCCAATGTATTCGAAACCCGGTAGGGATTTTAAGGACAGCACGATCGGGTTATCGAATGTCAATAACGATAAGACGATATTGCGACACATCCTCGACGCATTCCCTGAGCTTGCTAAGTCGAAACGTTTTAATCGAACGAGGAATGCCGGTTTTCGAAAAAGCACGCGGAAAGGTGTCGATCGACAATCAAATGTCACGTCAACTAACGTTACAGTCGACGGATCGAGAAAAGACAACGGGATGGAATCGGAGACTTTCGCTGGTCGGAAATTGGCGAATGCGATTGCTGCGGCATTTCCGGAAATCAAGAGGAGGAAACTATCACGGATGAGGAGCACAACGCACTCGCCCAAGGACGACGTGGAGACTTTTGATTTGGGTGAAAAGTCAAAGGAAAAATCGATCGCTCCTAAAGTCGAAAACAATTTTGTGAATTACTTCAATCAACACTTGTCTCATCTTACGCCGTCCTCTGTAATTAGTATCACTGTTAATCCAAAGGAGAATGAAGAGCACAAAAATATGGTAAAAAGAGAAAAAAATAAATTTAATCTTGGTCCAAAAGCTTCAAGCTACTTTGACAGATTCTTGAAAAATCTCACGCCGACGCCTACCGGCACAACCCATGGTTCGGTACTAATACCGATTTATCCATATAATGAAAATGTCATCGACGAACGTAAGTCTGAACGTTATCGGACGCTTAAGACGAAGGAGGTGGAAGTATTTGACAATGAAGAAAACAAGATTTATGAGAATAATTCATATAACGATAGTGCTAAAGTTACTAAATACCCTCTGATAGAAAATGGCAGCAAAGTTGGTTACTACTTAAAGAAATATTCTGTCCCTCTGATTACATCCGCTACGAAAGTATACGATTTTTTGAAGGTTTCGTCCAAATCTGCTAGACAAGAAGGAACAACTGACTCTGTAAGATATAACCCGATAACAAGAAGATATGGGTCAGTGTTCACCCTACCAACTACACAACGTAACATTTATGGAAAAGTTCCCGTCGAATCTTTGCTATTTGCTCCTGAGGGAGGATCGATTTCATCGAAAGTCGTGTTAACTCGAGATTTTGATAAAACAGGTAAAATGGATGTAAATGAACATTCCACGACTGTCAAACAGACTTCATTGACGGAACGAGTGGACGATTGTATATTAGATTGTAACACGTCGGAAGAGGAAACAGATGTGGGATCTGGAAATCATATGGAAAAATCTGGAATCGTTACAGATTCCAGTGGCAATATTGATTCTGGCTTGATCGAATCAGCTGAAAAGATGGACAGGAAATCGAACACTAAAGATTCAAGTAGAGAATCAGATTCCATCGATGTAGTATCAAAGTCTCAGGATAAATCTGAGGGATTGGATAGTTCCTTCTGGGACGTGTCATCTTCAAAATCTAAAGGGAATGACATTTCTAATGAAAAATCTGTATATTCTTCGGAGTCCAAGGAAACGCACGAGGGATCCAAAGAAGATGAGATAGTAGGAGATTCGCTAGATACTCGTGAAAAAAATAGAAACGAAACTAATTTTAAAAAGCATTCCAAGCACAAATCCAAAAAACAGAAGAAGAAGCACCATAAATCGGAGACTGATCTGAGCGAAAGCGTAGAAAAGAATTTTCAAATATTCACGACTACGTCTAATTACGATGATTACGATGAATCGAGAAATGATTTAGGCTACACCGAAGAATCGACAATAACTAGCATAAGCACTCAAGAGAATTTTATAAATTCTGCTGAAACCACCACGAATGCTGAATCAGGTGGGTCAAGGTGGATACATGATAATGATGATATTGATCTGTTTGATTCCCAAACAAAAAATAAGGAAGAAATTTCTCTTATCAGTACTACGGTCAACGATGACTTTTCAGGTACCGAAACGCAAAGGGTTACGACTACCGAAGTTACTACCAGTGACGCGTCTGCAGAAAGTAACGAATTTCGAAAGAGCAAAAAGCAAAAACCAACAATAGATATAGGTTGGTTTCTTGGGCTTGAGGAGGATACGGATAGCGAGGAAGACAAAAGTACAAAGAAGAATAACGAAAAAAAGAATACAGATACCACAAGCAGCACAACAGAATCATTTGGATTTAACTTTTTCAATTTTGGAAATACAGATAACAAGAAAACGTCCGAGACCGATAACAAGAAGAACAATGATTGGGGTTTTAACAGTTTTCGGTCTGATAACGATAAGAAAGATAGCACGGAGTCTAGTTACACCGTTGGTATCACAACAGAAAATATCTGGAGCACCCAGGTTCCAAATATTTTCAAAACTAGTACAGAAGATGATACCAGTGTAAGATCATCGATACAACCAATTTTCGAAGAAGTAACCACAGACGAGAAAATACTGTTCAGATCTCATTACGAAGATTCAACCGATGACGATGAAACATCGAGCGGTTGTAGGGAGGATCAACATTACTGCAAATCCGATGACTGGTGCATCGATGATAACCTTGTATGCGACGGTACTAAAGATTGCACCGATGCAAGCGACGAAACGGAATCTTGCGAGTACTTTGAGAACTTGGATGCCTTGTACAATGATGAAAATAATGATTCGCCGACTGAAGAAAATCAGTCGATTGCTGCAACAACGCCGTTCAACTGCCCAAGTGGCTATTTTAGTTGTGATGGATGGTGCCGCGAGGAAAGTTTAATTTGTGATAAGATACAAGACTGTATGGACGGAAGGGACGAGGAGGATTGCCAAAAGAGGAACGAGTACAAAGGTAGACAACGTAAAAAAAAAAAAAATGAAATCAAGCAACAATGCGGGTCCATGTGTCGTCCGCCTCTCTGCTGTATAAATACAAACGGCTGTTTATGGCTGATAGAAATGTGTGGGGAACTCTGGGTAAATTACAAAGCAAAATGAACTCTTGCCGAGTAATTGTCCTGCGTCTATATGTACGATTCGAAATGAAACTGCGAGTTCGGAGTTGATTCGTTACGTTCAGCAATGGGAATTTCAAATGTATATCTTTTTTTTCCTCTTTGTCCTTTATGGTTTTAATTTGAACTGTACTTACAGTGTGTCACAGTGAAAGCGAGAGACCTGAAGTTGTCGCGGTTTAAATTAGATAATTTTTGATTTCGCACCAAGATTCAGTGCGAATCCAGTAACTCATTTCAAAGGTATAGTACCTTTAGAAGGAAAGGTGTGAAGCCATTAGCATGGGGCAACTTCAGTCTTTACTTTCTATAAGACACAGTATAGATACAGTATAGATATGTGTCACGTAGGTTTATAAAGTTTAAGCAATGTTTGTGAACGCTTTTTTTTTATTCTATCTTCACGTGTACTTTTTTTCTCTCTTGAATCGTAGAATAAGGGTGAATATCTTGATAGTCGGTAGGTCCTTGCTTGAAAGGGCCCTGTAGATGTAAGATATATGAAAGACGGTGAGAAATTTCAAGACGCAATATTGTCGTGCAGTAGTAATAAACTAAAGTAATATATCAGCTGTTAAAAATTATCGCCAAGGCGTTGTAAACTTGTTTCCATGTTAGAGTTACGACTTCCCACTGCATTGCGGAACTCTTGTAAATTTACATCACAGTAACGTATCAACTCGACTAACTCGAAGAGTTAGCCAAGATGGCTGTTAGATTTGAGATTATAAAAAAATATTAAAATCTATAAAAAATTATTCTCACCTTCTTTCAACATTGAAATCGTATCTCACAATGTCATCTCATCTCATCTCATCTTCATTTCTTTTTTTCTACAACGAAAATTCATACCTGTCAACTGTACTACACTGATCACGTTTATACTGTACATAAATGAAAACTACAATATTACAGACGTACGCTTTAAATGTTAGAAGCGCTTAAGTTTCTCCACCTGTAAGAAAAAACGTCATTCGAACAAGGAGTTACAGGAGCTTTTAACGTATTACTTCACTTATAAACTGTGCCTAAACTGCTTTAAATGTTTCTGTGTTTATAGCTTCTGCCTTGCTTAGCCCCAATCGCAGATCCTAACCTCAATATTCGAACCGTTCGCAATTTTTACCATCCATCACGCGAAAGTAGCAACTATTTAAACAAGATCCAAAATGGTATCCCATATGACCTTTGAACGTCGAATATTGAGATACACAACAGGATATGACGATTGAGAACTACAAGGGTATGTTTTACCGTTGGGCCCCGTAGGTATGGCCCCGTGCCCTTCTATGGACTTCACCTGTGGGGATGGCTCTTGCATTCCTCAGAGCTCGGTCTGCGACGGATTCGACGACTGCCCCAAGGCAGAAGACGAGATTCACTGCGGTATATAAATCCTTTCCTTTTGACTTGATTTTCGCACCAGAAAGACACACCAAATGAGAACCATTTAAACTACTTACAATTAGTCTACGGTCCATATAGAAATGAATGATTTGAATAACGATAAAGATTGATTATAAAAAGCAAGAAATGATAATATGATTATCATTATATTAGAAAATTATTCAAATTTTCATTTTTTCTTTCTGCTGACGAAACTCCCTGCTTTGCTTGTTTCCGGATAATCACGATAATCACAGTGCTTACCACGTTGGGCCCAATTTGCTTGTCTCACTTTAAAAAAAAAAAAAAAAAAAAAAAAAAAAAAAAAAAAAAAAAAAAAAAAAAAAAAAAAAAAAAAAAAAGGAACATGTACATACGTCATATTCTTTCGTAAAATAAAATAATGAGCTTCTCTCAACTTAATATCGGGTCCAACGATCGCGTCATGAAAATCGAAAAGTTTCTGTGAAATCTTTAAATATTCATAACGGAAATGCTACGAATGAAATTACGATATTGAATGCTGACCGTGACAGTTTTGTACAGTATCAGAATTTGGAGTTTTGTAATCAGCGTGAAACATTCCGAAACTTTTCGACGTTCTTATCTAACAGTAATGTATCTTGTATAGTTTATGACCCTCCCCCCCCGAGTCCAATACAGCTCCACCCCATTTGACCTGCTATTCGTAAATGATCCAAAGAGCTAGATGCAGACGGTACGTGCATCTCGTTATCTAGTCTATCTATCTATCTCATCTATCTACTTTATCTATATCCTGGTAGACGGAGATGGCTTGCAGAGATGTATTCTCTTAAATATCCATCTAGGACATTCTCTCGTTAAGTAAAGCAGCCGATCTTGCGTGTCATATATGAAGAATAAAAAAAAATTTAGATTTACGCTACCATCGCGCACGGAACAATTTCAATCTACCAATTATAATGGTCAAGTAGTTTAAAGTGTTATGCGAGCTGTATAACGTACTCGCGAATTAATTTGAAATTCTTAAACAAGGTTGCGACCCACGTTCCAATCGTCATCGCTATTAGTATCACTTGTCTAAGGAACGTGGAATTTTTCAACGTCAGGTTAACACTTCCACACACCCTGGTGGTCGTTGCGCGTAATAATACAATGGAGAATAAACATAGCTGTACGAAATAACATGCGTTGCCTAGGCGTACAGTACGAACGTAAAGGTCTGTAAAACAGTTAACGTCTATGGCGAAAACTTATGTATTCATGAGAAAGCACGAACGCCACTGCCAAGGAATCTGACTTGGCTCTGCTGGAAGTTTGAGGGAAAGAAGGGAGAAAAAAAGGGCAGTTGGACTACGGCGTGGCTTGACAAATGGTTTTATAATGCAGGGTCATTAGAGGGTTTATGAGAAGTTAATAGCCGAGTATCGTTCGCCAATTTGCATCTGGTTAGCGAGAATGCGTTTTGCGATTAGTAACGGACTTTTCAATTTTCACGCTTACAAATCTGTTCGATCTTTAGATTTTTTTTTTAATCTCACAAAGAGATCCAGATCGGGTGAACTTTTTTTTTATTTGACTTTTTCCGACATGGAATATCGTAAGACTGGAAATCCGATTCCTTAGTTAACGTTTCGTTCGTTTCTAATGTCTCATACTAATTAACTATTGTCCTTCGGTCATCTTCGCGAATAGCTCGTTAGTATATACGTATTTAAGTACTAGGTCAATAATTTAGTCAGCATATGTTTCCACAGCCATAAGGACAATTGAGAGTATCATACCAGAGCCGTATCAAGGTTATTTTTTTTTTTCTATGAAAAAAATTTAAATAATCAGGTCTTAATTTTTTTTAACTGTTGGTTTACTGAAAATGGACTTTCTCTCTAAATTTGCTTTTACTTGCGTTCACAAACGTAAGTCTCGTATGCATTTCGTTCGATAGGAGTTTTCTTTTTCCTTTTCCTGGTATCCCTTTGCGATAGGAATCTTTTGTACGACGTATCGCCGTTATACCTAACCTCAACCCATTGTCCCGGTGCTGTGTGGCTTCAGCTTCATAAGTGTGTTTTATGCGAATTTCATGACGTAAACAGAACGGGATTGCACACCTACGCAGTTCAAGTGCATCGCGACAGGCAAGTGCATCGAGGCCATCTACAGATGCGATGGAATCTTGGACTGTTCAGATGTCAGCGACGAGGACGGCTGTCTATCGGTTAACGAAACGAATATACACAACAGACCGCCTACCAGTACGCCACTTTGTGTTCCCATTGCTTTTTCAAGATTCTGATAATTGAGATTACATGGTGACGGTCATTAATGTTTATTCAACATTTTTTAATCCTCTTATTGGAATTTTTAACCCTTCGAAGCATCCGCTTTTTCTTACGAGCGATTTATTTGAAATTTTGTACGCAGGGGGTTTCCAAACTCACTAATCCCGGGGTCAAAGTTCAAAAATTCAGAATGGCGGCTTCAATAAGGCCGATCAAAATGCAAAAAGTAGCTTCGTGAAACTTGGTGTTCAAGGTTTTTTTTTTGTCGCTGATTACGAATTTCCGACAAAACTTCAGAAATTACAATTACTTTTTGCATACAGATCCGTCCCATTAAATCCGTAAATTTGAATTTCCAAATTCTCACTGTTCGAAAGCTCAAGTATTTCATGATACCATGTATTCTGAAGAATCAGATTATAATAGTCAGCTAAAGTCAAGCTGGACCCTTAGCGGATGCTGCAAGAAAATTACGCATGACGCTACGAAGAGTTCTCTTGATTTTTCTGATTGTACAAGAAAAAAATATCGAAAGCTCAAAACCGTATCATCATGCGCAACGCTGTTGTAGTCGTCATTGATATCCATCATTGTCATGTTGTAATCATCATGCCGTCATGCTTGCTGCTGCTGCCACCCAAGAATCACCTGCTTTGTATCCAATGCTCGAAGTGTCTAGATCTTGTCTCTACGTCATTATACAAGATTTCTCGCTAATAGCGTGAAATTCTCAAAACCAATTTCTTTCATCGATACCACAAGAATGCTCGTCTACCCCTATGATTTGTATTTTCTGACTCTTACGTTAGGATGTATTTTTAAAAATTTTTCCTTACACCGTTATTACGAAACACGTATACTCCTATTGCTTAAGGGTGCTCGATGTGCTTTTATATTCCTCTTCACAATTATTTGTGCATGTAGACCTATCACCACCGGACGGGGTCACGGAGAAGCCACGCAGTTGCGACCCGAGGACGGAATTCAGTTGCGATTCCGGCACGTGCTTGAGGCTTAATAAAAAATGTGATCGTATCTTCGACTGTATTGATGGCAGTGACGAGAGGGGTTGTGGTAAGAGCTCGAAACCCTCTGTTTTCCTATAGAAACAAAGACAATTATCCCTATCCGTCTATTCTTAGCAGCCACACCTATCCTGTCGGGTCTTAAGCACGGAAAGCGTGCAGTAGCTTCTATCCGATATGCAAGTGTCCAGTAAAATTTGTTCAATCAAGTCCATCGGCGTGGGACGATAATTAGCCAAGCTCCAGACTAAATGACACAATGACGTTCAGAAGGTTACTGGCATATGTTTACACGGAGAGTAAAATTTCGCGAAGTTATACGTTATCCTCGCAAGGACAAAAACGTCTCTTTTTTACTCGTAACTTCGCGCTGTTTTCCATTGGGATCCTTAGAAAATCATTATATACCTCGCAATTACCTAACGTCGTATACCATGGGTATACGTATCCGACGAAAACGGAAGATACACTTACATCCTTACCGATTGGCCGTACGCGAATTTACCAGCAGTCGATATCCACCCTACGTGAGATGTATTTGGGATTAAGTGTCGTGGATCCGTTCCTTCGTTTTATAGGAATCCAATACTGCGCGCTCTGCCAGTCAGCCAAACTTTTCTTACTCTCTTCCTTCCTACCTCCCCTTTCCCTCCCCTTACGCCATCCTTCCATCGGCACCACGTTCTTGACGATCATCTTCCAAAACGCCAAAACACCCCTCTTGGTGCCTCCTCTTATGAGCTTTTGTTCGTGTCTGTCTATATACGTAAAGCCGCCTGCTTTCCTGACGAGTGGAAATGTACCAGCGGTGAATGCATTCCGGAGAATAAGAGGTGCAATGGTAAATCGGATTGTCCCGATGGTTCCGACGAGCATCTATGTGGTAACTATGATACCGTACACGCTTTCGTTTTATCAAGCCCAATTTTTTATCCTGCCTGTAACCGCGATTATTTTCTATCGCTATGATAATATTCGGCATATACATTCGCACTGAGTGATACCGACGTCGGTTGTCCTGCTTGCTGATGACAATGACTTTCCTGATTGATATTACGGATCCTTCTTTATCGCTTGACTACGAAGCGAGGAAGAACTTTTATGGTGCATCTTGATTATGAATATTCTTGAAATTGGGATCTATACGATTCGAATGTCAGGTTGCGTCACGTTGCGCAATCCCTTTGTCAAACACTTTCAATCGAATCGTCACGTTTACCTTTGTCATCTGTTGTTTTTTTTCTTTTTTCCTTTTGCACGTTACTGTACCAACCAGTATGAAAATACCGAAATATGTCCCACGTATTTTATTTACGATTCATCCTGTCTGTCCTCTCTGCGATTAATTCATTGTGTTTATACACGGGAATGCTTTCGGTATTCTGCACCGATAATGAATTTTCTATTATTTATTCGCATGTATCTCAAGTGACGTTTTATAACATCGTATTCGTACCTCGAAGTACGTTTCCCTTTGTTACAATTATGAATCCGCGTACCTTGTGAATATTGAATGGCGAAAAGGATGAAAGTAAAAACTGTTTTTTCTTCCT